CAGAAGAACAACGCTCAATCAGAAGTGCTCAAATCCCACGATATGAAGACAGAAATGGAAATTGGTCAGAGCAACAAGATGAGTATTTTGTGAGAATTGAAGAACTTATTGTAAATGGTCGGTTAACCATGCCAGTTGAGTCTGACTTACAACATTTGGAAACACATTCAACAACCACTCTAATTGATATTAATATGACTTCAGATGACGAATGTAAAACACTCACTGGGTTCACAAAAAACGAATTTGAAAAAAAATTTTCTTTGTGTTGTGCAACTTGTAAATTAGATTTGTATTTGGATGAAAACAAAATTAATAAACTTTGTTATTCAAATCCAGTAATGTCTGTATCGGTTCTGTCAGTAAATAAAAATTGTATATTTACTTTATATGAACTTTTTTTAATAATGATAACTTTTCTCCATAAGGGGTGCGACTACAAAACTCTATTTTATTTATTGAAAGTCAACCAAATTATTCTCACTTCTCAACGTTATCAAAATGAGACTGAATTTCATTTTATTAAAAGAGTCGGCGATAGAAACAGAAAGGAAATGTCGAGAGCAGTGTGGAGAGCAGTAGACTTGTTCAAAAAATGTGCCGTAGAAAATTTGATTATTTAGGTCGGTAAATGTGAGGCGATGAGAATACCATTTAGTAAATTCAGGGATCCAGTTATTATTGAACACCTTAAAGGTTTAGATAAGTGTTATACTGCCATTGATATAAGAGACCACGCTGTAACAAATAAACGCAAAATTGTGTGTGGTAGAGAATACACAAACGCTGTATTTTTTTATCCAAAATTAAATTGTTCAGCGATAAAAACAAGTGTAAGTGTCAATTACTTTGGACTAACTTGTGGAATTACCACTTCAATTCCTGGATCATATCACGATTTTAGAATTTTCGGGTTATATGAGTGGGACCAATATATCAGAGAGGGAAAACTGTTTTTGGGTGATACTGGATACCGAGGTGCTAAAAATGGTATTACAACTTGGCCCTACCCTTCTGAGCCAAGACGCCACGCATTGACAAAGCTTAGAAACTCTTTGGTTAGCAATTGTAGACTCATTGTGGAAAATTCATTTGGAAGGCTCACTCTGTTATTCGAAGTCGCAAAAAATGGAAATACTCTCTCGATAAATACGCAGACATTCTTTTGTTGTGTCATGCTTTTAATAATTATCACATCATGGTACATCCTATGTGGAATCTTCACTTCTTTTTATTGAACCCATCACTTTTGAATAACAAAATAATAATCAGAATTCCTCAAGCAGCCAGAAGGATTATTGAAAATTTCCAAATGAATGGTGGGACAATGTCAAACGCAGATGGTTTACATTTTGAACAAAATGAAAATGCAACAGCTGTTTTCGAAGAGGTCATGGATGTTTTGGATGATCAAAATTATGCAAATATGCCTGAAAATATACGTCGATTGCAACTTTAAACTTTCTTTTATGGTTTTAATTAAAAAACATCTAAATATTTGGTTTTCATTAAAGACTGAAAATGTAGGATTTTTTTATATCAAAAAATATTGATTTTACTTCAAAATGACCAATAAAAATATTCATTTTAATTGTTGAAACTATTTGTTTATAATATATTTTATAATAATATGGCGTTTGTTTCTGAATATAATTTATTTTTAAAAATAAATATATTTCTGTCTAATAAAACTATTGGTAAAATTATAGTACATTATCTAGTTTTCGCAACCCTGCGGACACGAAAATAATAGAAAGGACATCTTATACACAGTAAGGACGTCCTTTATAGCGGGAGGACGTCCCTAAACCACAAAGGACGTCCTTCGGCCTATATTCCCGTCTTTCGTCCCCATGTCCGTCCTTTCTCTTTATTTTGAAAAAAAATATATTTAAATTAAAACTCAAATAACACTAAACAAAATCATAAACTCCGGACACAAAGTCCGACGTATCGGACTTTCGGATTTGTTTTTCTGCTATTTTTTAAAATTTTTATTGAAATAATTAATGAATTATGTGAAGAAAAACGGGAAATGAGCTAAATGTTATAAGCATTTATAATTCTTATATTATTTTTGATGTGTTTTTTCTTCAATTATTTTTTTGTTCATCCCACAAAAACGTTCATTAAAACATTCATTGTTTTCACAAATTATAAATAAAGTAACTACTTTGTTTTGATATGTAAAAATATTTTTTTAGCATTAACAAAAATATGAATTTTTGATTATAATTGTTGTTAACAAAACTATAATTATAATACATTTTATTATAATCACAATAATTGATAAAAAGTGTTCCATTTACAAATGTCATTATTGTTATATATTTCTGTCATGAAATGATCACAGAATTTGCTTTGTCTTTTCATATTATTATTAAACAAATTCTATAATAAATTAATAATGGAATGATTAAATATTATAAAAGTCAAATAAAAACAAGTGATAATTGTTAATTTTTATTATAATATAAAAAAGTATTTTTTATTCCAATTAATATTTCGAATCACCTATATTTCATCTATAAAAACAAAATTAATCAATTATAATATATTTTACATTTTTATAATTAATATTTTACTATTTTCAACATAAAGAAAATAAAAATTTTTTGTTACTTGTGGTGTTTTAATTAATTTCATGTGTTTCCATATAAAATTTTGATACACTTTTTAGTTTAATTAAATAATAAAAATATAATTAAGTCGTGTTTTTCGTTGTTATCGTAAAAATCAACGAATTGAAAAAAAAAATAATTTTATTTTCATTTTTTTAAATGTTATAATATTGATTAAATTTGCGATTATTGTATAAAATTTGGGTATGAAATTAATTTTTCGTGTTTTATAAACCAAAATATTCCATGATTTTGAAATAAGGAAATTGTAGTGTAAGTAGAAAATTAAAAATCAAAAAATAAGACGCAAAAAATCGAAATAAGGGAAAATAATGATAAGTAAAACAGGTATAAATTTCGACAAAATATATTAATATCCCGAAAAACAAAAGAAAAAAATACTGTTATAACGTGTCGGACTTTATGGCCCAAGTTTACATTACAATTATATTTAAATTTTTCACATTTTGTTGTGTTTGTTTATAATTTTAATAACTTTAAATCGTAAGTGTATTTTTCAAAGCTTTTTAATTATTTGAGACTTTGATATTATAACGAAATAAAACGTGTTAAATTTATGTTTACACTTTATTGAAATTGATTATTTTTGACTAAAATACTAAATAGTACTTTTTACAATTGGTAATCTTTAGGTAGAATCATTTAATGTCCAATTTTTATGTTTGAAAATTAAACATTTATTAAATACCGTTTATTTTAAATATTCACCTGATCATATTTTAATTGTATAATTTCGACACACAATTTAACACATGTATTTTTCAATTGACATGTTTATTTGTGATACAACTTTTCTTGATAACATTCATCTATTAAAAAGAAAAAAACCATAAGCGAAAAAAACAATATTTAGAACAAGAAAACGAATATCGTTAAAAATAACTTGAAAAATACCAATAACTTTTTGAATAAAAATAAAAACTGTAAGGACTAAAATACATCAGCTTATTTAAGTTTTAATTACTTAAGTGTATATTCACATTTTATTACAATTTATATTTTATTAAACAAAATAACAAGTATTGAAACAAATGAATAGATTTGATACATTATATCTCCGTTTAAAAATCCATTCAAAAAATCACCAATTGTTAATCGCAAAATACCAATTATACAATCTGACAATACAACAAAACATTACAACAAAAAAATTTCATAAATATAAACAATCAAATCAATTAATTTAAAGAACTATAACAAACTAAACACAAAACGACTCACAAAATAGATTGATTTGTTATATCAATGTTTTGACAATAAAAGTCCATTTTCTAAATATCTTATCATTCACTTCACATGAAAAAGATGTTTTGCAACCAATGCGAACAAACAGCCCGAGGCACTGGATGTACTGTATGTGGTGTCTGTAGTAAAGAAGCAGTTGTAGCCAACACCATGGATGTATTAATATACACTCTTCGCCAGAACGCATTAGTAGCTCTAAAAGCTCGAGAGGAAGGTATCATCGATGATAGCTATGACATTCTTACATCAAATCTTCTTTTTCCACTTTAACGAATGTAAACTTCGATGAAAAGCGTCTAGTCGAATACACGAAAGAGGCAATAGAAGCTCGTAAGAACTTAATATCCAAAATGAAGCCACAAGCATCACGAAATGAATTAGAGTCTGCTAGGGAGATTGAAGACTGCGAAAAGTACATCAAAGAGAATTTGGACAAAAAGCACTCCAATCAACTGAATGACGACAAAGACATTCAAAGTTTGATGCAAGCGATTTTATTTGGGTTAAAGGGGGTCTGTACGTATATCTCACACGCCTATTTATTAGGCGAGAAGAACACTGAAATCAACACTTTCATACACCAAGCCTTGGCTGCTGGCTTTGATAACAAAGAACGTGACTTAAAAGCTTGGATTGACTTAGTGAAAGAGACTGGAAAATGGAATTTCGAGACTTTGAAACTGTTAGATAAAGCCAATTGCACTTTAGGCAATCCAACACCAAACTTAGTTAAAGCTAAATCAAAAGAGTTATAATAATTATTCCTTTTTTCAAACATTTTTAACTGTGTGCATCAACACATGGTAAAAAGAACTCACTAACAACAATATATGTTTATGTTGGTATCTATTTTAATGACTATATCTTGGTACATTTTATTAAACAACACTTTTAATAGGTGTTTCCAAAATAATTATTGCCGAAGATGTGGTATTATAAAGTACGAATTTGTAAGAGAAAAAGAACCTTTTGGTTATTAAATAATGACGTAGGTAATGAGCATTGTGATTTTAGAAACCTTTGACTTTCAACGTTTTTAATAAACATGCTAATTATTTCTTTTCAAACTTGTTTATGATAATACTTATGTTTGTATGTGAATGACTAAAAATATTCAAACTTTTACGTTGTTGTGTACGCATAGCCATTTATACGTCATTTTAAATGTAAAAATTTATTAACATTTATAACATGTAATTTTTTTGCAAAATAAACACATGTTATGTTATTCAACATTTTTTTTATTTTTCTTTAATCTTTAAAATGTTTTAATTTGAACAAAAACAGTATTCTTTTACATAAAAAATATTTTTAAATAACAAATGTTGGACTTTTTAAAAATGTAAGGTTCATTTGTATTAAAAACAATATGATAAAACTAATCAATATTAATATAACTATATAATTAATAATATAAACAAATGGTTGAAATGATCTATGTCAAACGTTTGAACTACTTAATTGTAGTCATAATGCTATTATATTCAATGATTTGTTAATTTAAATATAATAAAGATAAAATCAATTATTTGATTGTTTTTAAAAAAGAAGCACTACCGTGCAGAGTAATGCAAACAACATGGATGTACCAAAAGCGCTTCCAAAAGAACACCCAATACATTCCAAGTCTCCTTGTTTGCAAGCACCATATTCATATCCATTTTTTGTACATTCACTACATACTTTTATATTTTCATAATATCCTTCAGGGCATGAAGATTTTCAGTATCCACTAAACAAAAATTTTCCCAACACACATTCCTTGCAATAAAATCTATCACAAACTGCACAATTAATATCATCACATTTTATACAACTTACATTATTGAAACTAAAATAACCACTCTCGCATGTATCCACACAAGTTAAATCTTTTCCTACTAATTTAGGAGATTCGCATTTATCATACTTTTCTTTTCCTAGGCTGCATTTTAAACACTTTTTATCTTCACAGTGTTCGCACGTTAATCTGTCTTCGCTAAGACCGTATTTGTCTTCACAAGTGAAACATAAATAATTATCACAATCCAAACAATTATCAACACATTTTGTACAAACACCATAAATATTTAAATAACCAATTGGACAATCTCTTTCGCATAAATATGGAGGATCTGGTTGGGTGTAATAATTGAGTTCACATTTGGTGCACCGTTGTGATGTGCAGGTTTGACAATTTGGGAACTCTTTGTTACACATTAAGCACGTTTGCGACTTTTCTGTAACGTTCACAAAGTGTGTGGTCAAGTCGCATTGATTTCCACATACATTTCTTTCTCTCTTGTAGTAGTAATTGTCTTGGCATTCAACACATGTCTCCTCTGTAGATATTTCACATGTTTTACAATAATAATCAGAACATCTCTTGCATGTCCAATTTGGTGTTGTGTCTTTAATTGCTCCATAATTATCTCCACATGTTTTTGAACATGTTTTGTTTTCAAGAATGTAAGTGTTTGAATCACAAACATCGCATGCGTATTTACCAGATTCTTGACAATCACTACAAAGTGATGGACATTCTTCACAAACCCCATCACCCTTTCTATGTTTTTCTGGACAAGTATCTCCACATGTACCATCTTCTTGAACGTATTGGTTATTACCACATTTGACGCATTTTGTTTCGGATTTACATGTTATACAATTTTCGATAACAGAACATTTCTTACATTTGGCTATTTCATTTTCTGTGGTTTTATAATACCCATCATCACACCGACTTTGACACCCCTGTGGCATATTTTCATCATATAAAAAGTAATTTAATTCACATTTTGAACAGAATTCTCCTTGAATTCCTGAACATGAAATACAATTTTTGCTACATTTAACACACATTTTAGGTTCGGTGTCTGACCCCTCAACCACGTAGTATCCATCAGCACAACTTGTAACACATTCTTTGGTGTCAGAAACTAAAAAGTAACCAAGTTCGCATATTTTACACATTTGAGTTTCTCCGTTTAATTTTTGGGCATCACAATTCTCACAATTTGGAGTGCATTTCACACATTTTTTTGTTTTCACTGTCTTTACCATAGTTTAATGGACATTTTGAAACACATTCATTGGTTTCTTCTAATAAATAATACAAAGCATTACATTCTAAACAAGTGTTGTTTGAAGTGCATTTTTTACAATCCTTTAAAATATCCATACATCTTTGGCAAACTTGTTGCCCATTAATATCAACATAATAATCATAACCCTTTTGAACATTACAAGAAGATTCACACTTACCACTTGTTGTCACAATATTTGGGGGCATACAAAATGTACACTTGGTGCTTTTATATGCAAAATACGTATTTGGATCCATTATTTCCTTTTCACTACATTGCAAACAATTTGAAATATGACATTTTTTGCACGTTCTGCCGTCACCCATAAAATAATAACCTAACGTTGTGTAACACATATCAGTGCATGTTTGACTGGTGTAATTAAACACTTTTTTTCCAGCCACGTTGCATCTGTCACAAGCATAACCACTACAGAAATAGTCTAAACATGTTTGATCTTTCCAATTACAAGAAGAGGTATATATATTGCATTCATCACCACATCCATCATAAGTGAAATAATAATTTTCACAAGCAACACAAGTACTGGTATTGAAATCATATCTTTGGTCTTTATTACAACTCAATTTTGTTGCAGTCAAAGTTAAGAATTTGAGATTTGCTGGAGAGTAATTTTTATTTACATATACTTTCATAGCAGAATTCAAACTGATTCCGCCTAAAACACCCGTAGGGGCTTTTACACCATGATAAAACAGTTCGGTAATATACTGCAAATTATCTTGGAAAGTAATTACATTTCCAAGATGAAGCTTAGTCAATTTTACACAATCTTTCAATGCGTTTTTCCCAAGACGGTTAACTTCTTCTGAAAGTGATATTCTTTCGAGTAATATATCTCCAGCAAACATTTCTTCGGATATGGTAGGGCACCCACTCATGTTAAAGTGCTTAAGATTGGTCATATTAGAAAATGCACCCTTTCCGATGTACATATTCGAGTTTTTATAAAGTGTAAAAGTCTCCAATTGAGTACCACTGAAAGCATATTCATCAACTATTGAAAGATGCATATAAATATAAGGAACTCCTATTGAATATTTGATCGTTTGAAGTCCACTGTTTCTAAAAGCATTCTTTCTAATTGTATAAGGAAAATATTTATAAAATGTGATTTGTTGGAGAGAAGTAAGCCCAGCAAAAGCACTTTCATCGATTAGTTTAATACTATTCAAATTGATGGATTTCAACTTGGTTCCAACAAATGCAAACTTTCCTATATAACCCGTTAATGAACTACCATCATACATTTTAAATATAAAGGTTTCAAGATTGGAACATCCTTCAAATGCATAATCGTCAACAGAAGTAATTTGTTCTAAAATAACCGAAGTAAAAACAGTTCGACCTTTGAAAGCACCTCGACATAATAACCCAGATTCAGTTATAACTAAATTTGATCGCATGTGTAGTTTCCAATTTGGTCGTAATATTTGAAACAGTTGCGAGTAGCATCTTTGATATAACACTGATCGAGTGCATAAGTTGAAACAAACAGGAGAAGAATATAAATCATTGAATAAAACCTTCAACGTGTTCCTTTTATTTACGAAAAAATCTATAAATGGATTTGTATTTAAAACACGAAAATGTATAAAATTAAATGGATAAAAACAACTTTTATAAAAAATAAAAAACTTGTACTTAAAATTAAAATTTTTAACGATGTAAAGCATTTAAATTGAAATAAATTATTGTATTTTAACCTTTTCAACATTGTATTTGTCATTCCTCTTTCAATGCCTCTTTGAATGCTTAAAAAGTAAATAATAGAGGTATTGTATCAATTTGTTATCAATAAAAATACAACATAAAACACGAATATTTATAAATGTAAAAAAATATGAAAAATATCATTGTGTTGTTATTTGTATAAATTAAAATGAATCAATTTAATGTATTTAAGTCAACATTATAGAATTCTGTACATAAAAAACACCTTTTGTATGTATATTGATATACAAAGAATGTTTGTTATTACTTTAAATAAATTTAATTTACAATCTAACCGAATGAAAACCACAAAATTTGCTTCAAAAATTATTATTACTTATAATATTAAATGTTGTTTGTTTATAACTATAAAATAAAATTAATAAAAAATATATCGGAACATGGTATGCAAAGTTTTAAAATTTTAATCTATTAAATTTCGATGACCCGATTAATTTGATAGAAAGTGTGTCAATAAAAACATGGTAAATTCAGACTGTGATTTAAATTATATTGTTATTAACTAATAAATACTGGTGTTATTTTTTTGTATTTTACTAAAAACTGTAATGTGGGGTGAGTCAGCAAATAACGATTTAAAAATTTATTAAAAGAGGAATTTTATGCTTTATTTGAATTAATAGAGGTTAATTTCGGCTTTTTAAAAACCAAAACAAACAAATTAAACATTTTTTTGTAAAAATAGTTCAAAAAATAACGATTATTATTATTATTATTATATTTTTATTTTATAATAATTTAATTATGATATATTTTTAATTGTATAATACTTGGTTTGTTATCAAACCCTTTGAACAAACCTGAAATAGTTTGTCTATAATTGGACCAAAAGATATTTAAACTAAATTATGTCTATAAACCTTATTTATTTTTTTAATCAATTTTTGTTCAAATTGTTTCTAACTTGGACAATTTGAACAAAGATATCTTAAAGTGAAAAGATTTGCCTAAAAAGGATTTTATAAACATAATTATTTAAAAACCATATAACGAATAACACAACCAATAACATAAATAAGGTTACGACCATTTGACCAATCATTTTCAAACATCTCAAAGTGAATAAATACAGTTGATTTGGTAATATATTTGAATCAAATATCTGGAAATAATTGCAAACAAACTGAGTTTATTGGCATTGTTTTTTAAGAATTTTGTTTTAAAACACTATAACTTTGCCACGTTTTTTATATACTCGTTAAAAAAGGTAAAGTGACTTCCGCAAAACCATTTCACGTAGACAACTTTTACTCGACTACAGAACTTCGAATCGATGTTTGAGTTTGTCAATAATGTTGTTCTTTTTGTTTCAGATTTTTATCGTTGTTTTCAATTTCCTTGGTAATAATTGAAGCTGTTTGTTGTCGAATTTCTTTGTTGTTGATATAACTTTATACAATAAAAAGGTTCACCCAACCGTTGTTTGTAACAGAGTTGTTTTTTGTTGTTACATGCTTTGTCCACAAAAAAAATAAATTGGTAAAACTGTCCAAGTCCGTTTTGATTAAGAAAAACTAAAGTTTATAATAAACAAAATAAATTTAAAAACAAAACTGAATAAAAAAAATTATAATATATTTTTGTCGATAAATAAAATTTAAAAACAGACTTTATTTCTAAATCAAATTTGGTATTAAAAACCTATTATTTTTAATATCTAGCCACAATTCTTTCATTATTTATAAAGAGTCATCAAAAATGTTAAAATAAATAATATCAAAATTACACAAACAAAAATTAATAAAATATTATTTATTTGTTAAAAATAATTAGGTATAATTTTGGTATTAGTAGAAACTATTTCGATAATAATCAAAATACTGAAGAAGAAAAAATGAAATAGCACTGATTGAATCATAAAAATTACTTTAAAAACGTGTGTAAATTTAATAAAATAAATTTGAGATGGTGTTTACAATAAATAATCAACAAGATTGTTTAATACATAATCAAAATGTTTATAACAATTAAAGAAAGTGGGTAATTGAATATAGTTTTCCATGAAAATGAATGTAACAACAATTTAAATGATATCTGTTAACACAATAAAAATGCATTGAAATTAGTTATATAGATTTGTGACAAGTGTGTATATGTTCGCTTATTAAAAAGGTTCTTTTTGTATGTAAACTGTTTCCAAAAAATCGATAGTACTTGTTTTATGTTAAACTATTTTAAACCAAATGTTAAAGGAAAACATCGTAATCTATTTTTATTTCGATATTGTTTAAATTGTAATTGTTATACCATGTTTTTTAACAAAAAAATATTTAATCTAAAACAAAATTACCTAAGATTAATTTACCATTCTTGTTTTTCAATTTTTTGGTATTGTTTAAAATCGCTCAAATGTCCAATTGGTCCACCTTTTTCGTTTTTGCACATTTCGAACCTGTAAGTCATCGAATTCATCAAATTGTTAATAATCGAGTATGGTATATTATTCCAAACTTTTTTAAGATGCTTGAATAACAACTTTTTGGTTCTGAAAACACTTTTTTCGTTTCTTAATCTCCTTTCCATATTTCCCACAGATGTTCTATTGGTGACAAGTCCGGGCTTGATGATGGCCATTCAAGCAATTTGACCTTTTTACTTTTAATCCATTTTACTGTTTCTTTTGCTTTGTGAGGTGGCGCCCCATCTTGCTGAAAGTAAAAGTCACGTTTTCTCTCTTTTTTCATGTGTTCGAAAATTCCATTGTGTTCAAGCATTCGACTATAATCTGCCGCTTTCATTTTCTCAGAACACAGAATCAAATCCAATTTGTAGTCTTTACCAATGGCTCCCCACACCATTATACTGGCATTGTATTTTGGTGTTTGACCAGTGTAATTTTTGAATTTTTGAATTAACACTTTTCTTTTGGCTTTGGTTTTTGCAACTTTAATGTTTTTTAACATTTCACCAAACGTGTTTCTTCTTCTCCAACAATATGATTTGTCTGGAAATAAACAATAACGGGATTCGTCAGAAACAATCGCGGTTTGCCATTTTCTGAGATTTCTTTTCTGTAGCATTTTTTTGCAAAAATCATATCTTGTGTTAATTTGTTTTTGTGTAAGAATTTGAGTTGGTTTTTGTTTGCAATATTTAAATCCGTGTGTTCTTCTTAAGTTGTAAACTGTTGACTTGGACAAGTGATTGTTTAGTGCAATCTTTGAACAAGTTGAAAATGGATCATTTTCAGTTTGTTTGACGATTTTACCGATAACATTGTTGGTAACTTTAGTGGGTCTCCCTCTTTTTACGTTTTTAATGGCGATTTTGTCTTCAATCGTCTTTTTTACTCGCGCAATTCTGTTCGGAGACACTTTCATCATTTCTGTGATAACAGAATATGAATTACCTTTATGTAAAGCTCCGGCTATAAGGGTATCAATTTTGTTCATTTATTCTATAAAGATTAAAATTTGAATTTTTATTACCAACTTTTAGTATTTTTGTTTGTTTAACATAAATTAAATTTCAAATTCATTTACCAAACAACTAATAAATAAGACGAATAACTTTCATTTTATATTGTTTTGCCGTTGGTATTTTTACATCTTTTGTTTTTTTACATTCAAATCATCTCAAAACGTAATTGTTTTATTAAGTCGTCAATTTGTTAATTTTCTTTTATCTTAATGATTTTATTCTTGAAACCAATTTTATATTAATTATTAGTGTTTAATTTCAATTCATTACCAAAAGCTTTTATTTCAAAAAAGTATTTTCATTTGATTATAACAACATTTTTGGTTTGTTGTTATGAATACAAATTTGTTGCTACTGAAAACAATTCAAAATTGAAGTACATTTTTGAACTTATTTAACAGGAAAATAACCAACAAAAATATCTCGAGTAAAAACGTTGCAAAAAAATCTGAAAAAAGACTGAAAATAAAAATAAATATTTTTTTCAAGTAAAAACATGACAGAAAAAAGAAGGAGAAATATATTTCCCAAAATATAGGACTTATTATTAAAACAACAAAACCCGAAAATGTGCGATAATTTCAAATTTTCTCACTATCGATTTATTAGAAACAGTTTATATAGTCAAATTCAAGACATCAAAATTATATAATTTCTTGATGAACTAATTAATTATTGAAAAGGAAAGACTCTATATATATTGACTGTTATTTTTGTTTTTTTATTTAAGTTAATAGGAAGTACTTTATCCAAATTACTTTATAAAGAATAATTGTAAAAATATGTTTTTTTAAAAAAAGCAATCACCATTTTGTACATTTTAAACTTATAGCACAATGAAAAACGTTATATATAGTAAAATCCTGTTTAATTTACTTAATTAGAATGTTTTGAAATATCGTGTTTAATTCCACTTTTTAAGAAAAATAATTTAAATGATTAAAAAAAACAAAATCAATTAATAAAATTAACTTCTGATAGCTTTTAGTTATAATATTTCAATAATTATATGATTTAATCAAATTCGTGTGGTGCATTGAAAAGAAAGCATGAGTGGTCCCACAAAACAGTCTGTTTGTGCCCTGGTTCCATTTACTTGACGTGTTTTTTCTTGGCGTGAATCCCTTGAATTATTTGTTTGGTGGTAGTTCGTAGGATTCACCTCCTTATCCATTCAGTATGAAAAAAGAAAGTGGGTAAATTTGGATTCACAAACAATAGCTGAAAGATAAATTTCATTTAAAAACAATTTTGGCAAATACTTTTTATGTCCGACGTGGTAATTTGTTTTATAGTTTTTTGTTATAAATTTATAATTTATAACTATTGGAACAATAAATAGCAGTTAAAAAGATAAGAGCGGTTTTTAACTCAACTGTTCAACAACAATTACAATGTTATCAGATAAATATCCTGTTTGATTCAGGTAAAAATCCAATCATTTATTGTTGGGTTAATACCCATACTTCTTATTAACAAGTAAGATGTTTGGGCATTCTTGAGCAAAAATACACACCAAATGTTTTGAAGTATACTTAATTTTTAAGGTAATGAATGCATTAAAACAGTGTAATTCATTTTAATTTTAAATGTAATTTTAATAACAGTAAAAATCTGAGTGTTGAAAATCCAAATAGTTGATACGTCAGAGTATTAACAATTAATACAACTCCAACATTTCAGTAGCTTTTTTTACATTTTACCTAGTGGAAGTAATTTTATTAATATTTTCACAAAATTCGAACTATTTATTATCCAACAAATAACATTAAAAAACCGACTTTACAAAATAAATTTAAAAGATAAAACATGGCAGTTTTCCCGTTTCCAAAATTATGAAATAATATAATTTTATAGTATATTTGTAGTCTAGTATAAAAATAGTTATACAAAAGTATTTAAGAGAAATCTAAGACCAATTAAAACATTTGATGCAAACAATTAAATGTGTTGTTGTAGGCGACAGTGCTGCTGGGAAGACATACCTTCTTATCACTTACACTACCAATGAGTTTCCAACAAATTACACACCAACAGTTTTTGACAATTATTGTAATACAATTATGGTGGATTCAAAACCAGTTAATATACAACTCTGGGACACCAAAGCGGGAATGGAATACGACCAATTACGCGCATTGTCATATCCACAAACAGACATCTTTTTGATTTGTTTCAGTGTAGTCTCGCCACCTTCATTTGACAACGTTTCAACAAAATGGCAACCAGAAGTAGCTCATAATTGCCCAAATACACCATATATTCTCGTTGGAACAAAGGTGGACATGAGAGAAGACAACGATCAATTAAAACGACTCAAAGAAAAGAATACAACTCCAATCACTACCAAACAAGGTGCAGCAAAAGCAAAAGAAATCAGTGCAGTAAAATATATCGAATGTTCCGCTCTCACACAAAAGAATTTAAGACTTGTCTTTGATGAGGCGTTCAAAGTGGCAATTTCCTTTAAAACCAATAACCAATCAAACACACAACAAAAAGCAACATGCTCTCTTCTTTAAAACTTGCTGTTTTCAATTTATTTGTTTATATATAGTATTATATAAAAATAGTAGACGGTAAAATCTAATAATAATTAGTTTTATATAGTTTTAAATGAAACCAGGGCTTCGCAAATTGGGATAAAGTGTAAGTTAAGAAATTGCTCTTTTTTTCTTTTTCATTATTTGGAATAACATTTTCAAAGAATGTTATTGTTTTTTTATATTAACGTAGTTTTGGAAATAAAATTATTAAAAAAAAACAATTAAAAATTTATTATAATTATTAAAGCATAAAGCAAACATACATTACATTTTTATTTTATATAATAAATATATAAGTCGCAAATTAAATTAACTTTTATTATTTGTTAGCTCAATGCATTGTGCGTACATTTCGTAGCGTAAAACGCCCAATTGATACAGAAAGCATTATTATAAATGCTCTGTATATGAA